ATAATGTATTTGGATAGTGTGTTCACTGAGATAAAAACAAGATTAAAGATTGCAAAACTTTATGTGCAGTGTTGTTAAGCAAAGCACACAGTAAGGGTATGCTCTGAAAGACCTAAAACCAAGCACAAAGGGCTAACATTAGGAGAAGGCATGGTGCTGTGCTATCAAGACAACAACCCCTAACTTATAGCTACACTGTATTAAAGCTTGATGTAAATTTAGCTTTATCTGCAGGTAACATCTTTCCTATATGTGTCATTTCCATCATCAGAAACAACTGATCCCTTAGATAGATGTAGTATATCTGCTCATCTTCCTTTGTGCTGGCTAAGGCTTTAGAAGCACTGGTCCCCTGAAGTGCTTTGCATAGACAAGAGGACAAGGGATGGGGGTAAAGTCATGATATTGAAAAGGTTCCGGTACACTATAGCGTCAAATTAAGAACGGATGGTACTGCGTACCGTGTGTACCCGTCCAGTTGAAGTATTGCTTTGACGCAACAGAGAACTAAGCTTAATAGACAATGGAGAAAGTGCACAGATTGAAACATAGGACCCAAACAACATCTATATACATCAAAACGCAACCTCAAGAGACCACATAAACATTTCAGGAGATTCAGAAACTACACAAACAAGTACACAATACATAATTAACATTACAACAATACATTAATTATGTATCTTTTAGTGTTACTTAAACATTTAGAATGCCTTAGCATATAGATTTGTTCAGAGGAAAACTTGAACACTAGTTGTCATGAAGGGTAAAAACTTTCTTGTCTCTGGAAGGGCTAATCCAGGAATTTCAGCAAACATATTGGTGGTCCAATACAGCATACAGCATGGAAGAGCTTAAGGTGTGACTCACATACTCCAAACACATGTATGACCTTTTAACACCACACTTCAGGCCTGACTTCACATAAACCTGTCATGGAAACCTTGATATTTCCCAGGAAATATATTCACATTACAGAAACCTGCAATGAGAGCTTATTTGGTGATAAGAACTGTTTTCTTTTTTTGTGTGTCTTTTTTTAAAGCAGATTATGATCTGTCTCATGTAATCTTAAGCACATGGGTAAGTTATTCAAACTGCTGACTTTCTTCCAAGACATCTGCATTGTTATAGAGTGAGTTAATAGGATGAATAAAGGGACCTTTGGAGGATGTGTTTGACTGGACCACTCAGCACTATGTCACCCACACTCAGACCACTGGTTTAGACTATGCCAGGAAGACAGGAAACTGAACAATCAGACTCCCAACGCTGGAGAAGAAAACTCACTAAATGAAGAAAAAAATCTACCATTAGCTCGCATTCACACACTAAATGCACACACACAAACACACACACAAATCCCCACTGGACATACAAATCTCCCACATTTAGACCCCATCCTCAACAACAGCTGCCACCGCACCCCAACAGAGGAAATGCCAAAGTCCTCTGAAGTGGAGCATAACGGCACTGCAGTTCTCATCTAGTTAAGAGCTGGAAGGATAGAAAAGCAGGAGAGCTTCTAACAGCAGGAAGTCGTAAGAATAATGTCTCTGTGAGGATGTTCAGCTCCTTGTCCTGGTGGCATTAACAGACAAAAATAGGGGAGACACAGAACTCTGAATTGACTTGCACACAAAAAGAAAATGCTACTCCAACAAGTTGCTCCAGTTGGTAACAAGTAAGTGAATCAAGTTGATCCGACTTGGTCAGTTATGGAAAACCTAAGTAAGTCAAGTTGGGGAAACTTCTTCTTGTTTCCAGTTTCTTGTTACCAATTGAAGGTGGAGCAGCATTTACTTCTTAGAGTGTATATTAAAAACCTTCAGTGGGGAAAAAAATAAACTATCAAGTCCTGCCTTGAGGCAATAAACTTGTTTTTTATCTCTTATATGTGTTATCAATATACATGTTATTTCAGTTATACAGATACATGCCTCTCCATATCACTCATTTCATAGTTTTAATTTTCTTTTGTGGTCATTTAGAATTATTTCTGTAACATCGGTTAGATTTTTCCTTGTATCTCTGTTTAGGCTCCTTTGAGTTGATTAGTCTTCCTCTATCAGTTATCCTAATGTTCCTTCTGCCACAGCTGCAGCTCACTTCAGTTCATGGATCATATTATAACCTGATATTCTAAAGGTTTTCTGTTGAATCCACAAATGATATAGAAAATAATTTTCGTGTTCACCTTTTAATGTCTATTTGCAAGTTTTATACTTTTCATTCTAAGTAATTCCAACCATGCTCCTTTCAAGATCCTGTATGGTTTTTGGTCTAGCATTACCCCACAAACCATTACAATTCTCCAGTTGAAAGGTCAACCTTCTCCCATTCTGAAGTCAACTTGCAAAGTAACCTCTATCTGGTTACTTGGCAACCAATCAGTTTTTCTTCCCATTTAGATAATACCTGTTCTGCTAAGGAGCGTAATTTCTGTTGCATGATGCTGCCCTCACCGTGGGGATTTTAAGCTGATGCTTTTTGCTACTAAGCCTCAGCATGTTTTTTCTTAAACTCTTTGTTTTTTGAATTACATAATGTTGTTTGTTCACTACTGAACCTCAGACACCTTCACAGAATTTAAATTAATATTACATCAGTGCAATGTAGATGCAAAATGAGAGTCACTTCCTTGTAAAGAGGGCTTTTCTTGTATGATGGATTGCTTACGTGTCTATATCAAGCCTATGTTTATCGAAGGATTACTCATGAATCGTGAACCACTTCAAAATAAATCCTTAGTTCTCTATAATGGTTCATGGTAAAAAATAAATAAAAAAAAAAAACTTTCTTGTGAAACACGGGCATGAGACTTGCAAGTATAAAAACCTGTGACTTTTATCCTCAACATCTTTCCTGGATTATCTAAGAATGGCAGCTAAGCAAGTTAAAGAGCTCAGGAACATTCACATAATCCATGGTTCCTAAACCCTTGTGCAAGTGACCCACTGCAAAATACAAGAGTGCCCACAGTGTGTGTATCTGTAGTACAAATAGTATCAGAGTTTGTTGTCAGTGTGTGTGAGTGTGTGTAACTGAAAAGACCCCCAGTTGCTCTTTAAAACTGAAACTTTTCTTTTTTTGTAATAATCAGAACCAGTTCCCATGAAATTGGCCCTACTGTGGCTTGCTGAGAGATGGAGTTTGTTCTGTAACTTGCTTTTCTATGGTCTGTCAAGGCCCACTAGGGCCATTTTAAATACAAAAAAAAAAAAAGGATTTAGAAAGTCTCTCCGAATTACCATAACTACTGTAGGCCTTCTTATCACCACAGCCTCTCTCAACAGCATATTTGTTCAAACAAAACTCTGTTGTGAATTAAATGACATGAAGAAATATGTCTGCATGCAGAACATTTCTGATTTACAGCATGTCCAACATATGGAAATATTGCTGAAAATGTTATTTATCTTAATATTTCCCTAAAAAGCTAAGCTCATATAGAGTATAGATCTATTAATTTTTGTTACAGTTGCATAAAACTCCAAAATGAATCTCTCAGAAATGAGAATATTACATCAGGCCCATACTAGATATTCATTTCAAATGCAGAAGTGTTAGGCAACTACAATGATCTATAAAAACATGGTGAGACAGTGGTCCAAAAAGTCTCTGACACCCTCTATGAGGATGCTATGCCCAAAATGATAAAACTATGCTGACCGTTCATGGGGTGTTGTATCCAATCAGACTACAGGTTTCCGATAATCAGTATAGTAAGCCCAGTCCTTTCCTTATCATATCAGGCACAATGCTTTATGGTGTCTGGTTTCTTCAAGAGCAGAGATGCACGATTAATTTTTCCCGCTATAGTCCGATACATATAATATATGTGCTGAGTGTATCTTACTAAATACTTTACCATTTGAGTAAAGTCATCCTGCTCAACATAAACATGGTTAAAAAGGTAACAAATAAAAGGAACACAGATATAAGACATTACATATAAATACGTAATCAGAACTAAATGGATCTGAGTGCTGGATCAGCATCATTTCATCTGATATCCAATTCAGCTAATTAGTCAATATCAGAGCCGCTAGTAGAAAGGAGAATCAGAACAGCAAATCTTTATTCACTAGTGGAGCAACACCTGGGAGAAAGTTGTTTCAAGTGTCAGGGATACATCTGTGTGTAAGAGTTTCCCTTCAATCAGGACTCAGCGCTTGAAGAGGCACCACATGTAGACTGTGTAGTGCAGGGGTGGGCAATTCCAGTTCCTGGGGGCCGGTATCCTGCAACTTTTAGATCCATCCTTGGTCCAACACACCTGAATCAAATGGCTGAGTTACCTCCTTAGTATGCAGTCGGTTCCTGCAGAGTCCTCCCAATTATCTGATTACTTGATTCAGGTGTGTTGAACCAAATGCACATCTAAAAGATGTAGGATACCGGCCCCCAGGAACTGGAATTGCCCACCCCTGGTGTAGTGCTTTCTATTGTAGTCTATTCAATACTGAGTCCAGCTGGAGACAACACCACATCCAAACCTTTAAACTTACCTTTCATCACAATCCTCTTTAGGCTACCACTGTTACTTGTTAAACTGGTCCCCTATCTTGTCTATGTAATAACTATGTAATCTATGTAATATATGTAATAACTTTGTAAGTTATTACATATCCATATTAATACAGTTTTGTATATACATTGTTTTTAATATAATATTCAACTGGATAAATGTGGGTTTTAAGCCAGAATCCATCAAATTAACTAAAATGAAGCCTCAAATATGTGTTAAATTTCCGTTTTGCATCTTTATTGATAACATGCTTTTATCTTTTTTTTTATTTGGTTTTCAAAATTTCATGGTGAATGTGTTTATATGCAATTAAACTTAAGCTACATTGACTGAGAAGGTTTGAAATAGTCTGGCTTTGCACTGGGACACCTTTCCTCCAAGTGACCCAGAGTGAAGTCATTATGCTTTCCACTCTCTCAACAGGAGGTGGGGCTTTTGGTGAAAACTTCTTCCACCCAGCTGCACAAAGAGGAGCGTGCAGTCGAGGTCTCTCCTCCAGGCTGTGGCTGCGCACACATTGTCCGCTCTGCTTCTTCAACTACATCGCCTGAATTTGCATAGCCTACTTTTCCTGTGCGTCTTTTCCAAGCTGATCGTTAACTATTCCGATTTCCCCACTCCCCGGGAGTGGTCCGGGAACTTTTTGCTATAATGAGCAAACAAACGGTCAACCTTGACACCTACAGCCTGTCGCTGCTCACAGCCAAAGAGGACATCCTCAACCCCCGCTCCTCTACCAACTGGTAACTCTTTTTTTCTCTCCTTTTACACGTTAATTTATGCGTAATACCCTTTTGCAACATTAGAGCCTTTGTGGAAACTTCGTGCTCTTAACGTTGTTTTATAGTTTTGGACAGCACATGAGAGCGCACACGCAGTTGCGTAATGGGTGGTTATTAGAGTTAATCCAGTCGGGGATGTAGGTGACCAACTCAGGGAAACGCACGCTACTTTTGCTATATTTACCAGCCGGACTGTGACAAACGTCTTCAAGTAGATCTGTTGCAGCTATAGGTGATGCACTGAAGCTGGAGAGAGCAGCACCTGGCGTCCAGCCTGATGGTGGCCTCACCCTGGCCATGCGCTCTGGGTCTGCTGTCTCCAGAGGGAGCACTACTGGGATCGTGTTTCTTCTCTGACAGGGCTCGGTTTTCAGTGCTGGACCCTTTAATTTCTCAGATAACACTGCATTTCTTGGAATAATAAAAAAAATATATAGACCAACAGACAAGACTGAGTACACAAAAGGCTTAGGATGCAACCGTTTACTAGAGAAAAAAAAAAAAAACTCCCAATTGTGTCGCATTAAAAAACTAACAGGTCTAGTTATTACTTTATTAATATTGCTGGTAAAGTGAAGCACATTGAGGTGTAATCTGACCACCGGATGTGGTCATTCTCCCTGTCTTTTGTCACAAAGCCTGGTCACTCTGTCAGTGTGGCAACATATTCTTCCTTCCAAACAATCTCAGCCTGTTTGTTTTTTGTTTTTTTCTTCCCTTTCCCAGTGTGTTTATCAGGGACTAGGTGGTTTATTGGTATCAACAGGCCATCTCAATGAGAATATGTTGTCTCTTGCTATCTTAGGTAAAAATATATAAATAAATAAATAATAATAATAATAATTTTACATGCATGTATGTATATCTGTCTGTCTGTCTGTCTATCTATATCAGAGCATGGAACTTGGCCATCAGAAGCTGGAGTACCTGGAGAGAACCCAGGGATGCACAGGGAGAACAACTTGTAAACTCCATCCAGGACTATACTTGCTGCAAGGCAACAGTGCTCCTTACTGGGACACCATGCAGCCCTATTTATTTATGTATCAGAGAGAGAGAGAGAGAAATATGTAATCAATATTAGTGTATGTTTTCACACCTGATGAGCTCATGCATGTAGGAGTGGTATGGGCATTGGTCACGTGTTCTATGCTGACTTTGCTGCTGAGGTGATCAGCATTAAGGAAACAAATTTCCTTTTGAGAAGCTGAAAGCTTTATATTCATACATCACTGACTCACTATTTCCACGTGTGGATGCTTGAAAATAGGATAAACAACAGACAAAAGCTTACATCGTCAGTGAGGTTTGACAAAGATTAGATTATGTCTGAACCTTTTCATTCATCCATCCATTTTCTAGCACGGTTATCCCGAGTGGGGTCACGAGGCAAACAACCATTTACACACACACTCATACCTAAGGGGACTGTAGAGAAGCCAATTAACCTAACAGTCTTGTTTTTGGACTGTGGGAGGAAGCCGGGGTACCCGGAGAGAACCCACACATGCTTAGGGAGAACATGCAAACTCCATGCAGAAAGACCCCAGGCTGGGAATCGAACCCAGAACCTTCTTTCTCCAAGGCAGCAGTGCTACCCAACATCACTGAGCAGCCACCCTTTTTGTTCACGTGTTTTAAAAAAAAAGTTAAAATGTATTTTATAAATCTGCATATGTGCATGTTGAGTCACTGAGGAGTTTGTTTACAGCGTGGTGGGAGCCTTGGTTGACTTAACAATCCCGCCCCCCCTCTGTGTAACCTTGGGGTCCTTGTGTGCTTTATCTAATGACCTTGTCTTCTCAATGGCAAACTGGGGTTTTGTCAGCAAGGCTCCCTAAAAATAAGAGCTTTTCAATGCATTCTTCACTCAGACCTCCATGCTCTGTGTACAGCTTAGATGGGCTCTGCGTTTTCTATCTGAAGACTAAGAAGTTTGTTCTTTCTGGGGTGGAAACTTGCACTGTGGCCATGTGTTATGTGTTTGTTTGTGCAATAAGGGAACAAAGGAAAACTGAACTAAAAAAAGAATACATTACAAGGGTAGTCCCCGTGAAAGCGAATAGACTAAGACTTGTGATAGCTAAGCTAAACACTGAACGGTAAACAAAAGAGGGGGGTGAAGAAGGTATATTACACTATAATTTCCAGTATTGCAAACCATTTTACTTGAGATGTTACTTGCCAGTTCTTTAAAATGTCTTAACTAATGTATCGAGAACCTTTTGGTAGGATTTTTCAAGATTTCTTTCCTGTAGGGTGATTTTATACTGTGTGCCAAGTTTGTGGAATGTTTTCTCTGGTAGAGTTTACTGTAGTCAGGCATGGGCAGATAAAGTAAATATGTGATTTCATTGCATTAACACTCAGTAACGTTATTTAACAGTGCACACCTAAAGTGAAAAACTCTGGTTTGACTGGAATCTCGTGAAATAACACGTCTCTACAAACTTATTAAACCAAGCCATCGTTTTTTATTTGCTCATAAAGACCCATAGTTCTGTTTTCATGCCGTATTTCTATAGTCCACACCATCATCTGTTTTCAGAAGATGTTTCTTTTTGTTATGAAAGTTATGTGATAGGAAGTAGTGTGATATATTATATTTGTACTCAGAAAGGAGTGTCCCAAGCCAACACTCACTCTGACTTGGAGTGTTTGATATTTCCAAGCCACGCTCAGGTCAACATCCAACATGGCCGACGTATAAAATGTAGTATCAATTGCAGAAATTAACTGTTAATTTGCTCTCTGAATGGCGTGTATCTAGATAAGCCAGTGCCACTGTAATTTTTTTTCTCTCAATCTTAAACAATTCCTCTACTTCCTCATTGCGTAAAATCGAAATGCAATGGCTTTTATAGCTAATATTAGTTGTGCAAATGAACACCCTACTGGAGGGTTTGATGTTATTACCAGATCAGAATTTTGGCTTGCAAGGCAAATCAATGCCAAAAAAAAAAACCCTGACTCTAATTAATTCAAGTGCAAAGGAAAAAAACATTCCCAAACAGGGATGAAGAAACCTAGAATGGAAATAATGGCAGAAGATCAATTACGGTAGTTGCATCCTTAGGGACTTTATTCAAGGCACCCTATTAAGAAAATCGTAACACATAAAACACGGATAATCTAAGAGGAAATGGGCTTTAAATCTTTTAATAGAAAAAAATGGTACTTTATGAATAATCTTAAGATTGAAATTCAGAAGAAGAGCTCACACAAGACATGTTGGCTTCAAATCAAATTTCCCATGCCTGCTCCAGGGGATTTGCTAATATACTGTAGTGTCTTTAATTCATCTAAAGTATTTGTTTTTGTAACAGGTTACCTTTATGACCCCTGGGGGCAAGTTGAAGTTAGTTTCTAATTACCCTGCCTGTGTGTATCTTGCATGTGGCTTCTTTACCTTGGACAAAATCTTAGATAAACAGATCTTTCTTTAGAAAACAGCCACGTACAATGACCTATATAAACATTTTTAAGAGAAACTAACCATGGGACTGGCTTTGCACTGAAACACCAGTGATGGGATCCGTAAATGACAAAGGCACTTGTCAAACACATTCAAACCAAGCTTCGTCTGGATGGGAACCCAAGATACCAGGTGTGGCTCTTGACTTTTAAACATTTCTTTAGCTCTAGACCATAGAAAAATATTTTCTGTGTACCTTCTGTAATGACACATCATATTTTAAAGTGGTTTGACTGGAATAGCAATTGACATACTGAATTTCTAAGTGCTTAAAATTGATTTGAAAGGATTTGACACTTAATCAGGAAAGTCTTTCAGTCTGAACATTCGTAGGGGTTAGAAAAAGGTGCAATCTGTCAACGCACTGTAATACTCAGACCATCCCACTCATTCCAAAATCACCTCAAGCAAATCTGACAACTTTAAAGACTTTGCCTGAAACTCTTTTTCCTTTAAAAAAGGTTTTATGTCTCAGTAAGTTTTGTTTGGCAAAAAAGGATAATGTTTTCTTTGTCAAAAAAAACCCCAAACTTGTCTTTAGATGCTGAAACATGACATCCAAAGATTACCTAATGTAGAAGTTTGTAACTAAGTATTCACCAACAATATTTTTACTTCACAATTGCAGCATATATTCATAGGTTCCAGCTAGAAAATATTTAGATTAGAAAAAAAAATCTAACTTTTTTGGATATTGGGGGTGATGTCGAAAAAACTATGTTTTGAACACTCCTTAAAATGCTGAAAATATTGAATGACCACTGATTAAAAAACACATTTTGTCATGAAGAGAGAAATGAAAGGAGGAAAACAAAATGTGTTGCTGTGGATGGAACCGTGATGTTATACCTTTTTAATAATTTATTTTTTTAAGGTTCCGTTTTTGCTCTGTCCTCTTCATATTTATGAAAACTAACTTAGTAATAAAAGTCATCTTATAGACATTTTCTGATATGCAGACATTTTTGTAACTCCTGTGTAAAGCTGTGTAAAATGTTACTGATAGCCAGGCTGCAAGTTGATGAGAAGGATTTAAAGTTATTTTCCTCCATTTTGTCAGGATAATGCTTCTAATAGAAAAAGACTGATGGATCTTTTAGCATACTGTAAAAGCAGCATAATGTTAAAGAGTTTGTCCTTGAACCAATGCCCAGTCCAGTCTCTCATTTCTCTCTTGTTTGCTTCTTGCACAACTTCTGGCACTGGCTGCTCGGGTAACATCGATCACCACAGATTTCAGAAAAACGTATGTTTTTGGTACTTTTCTTTTATTTGAAAAGCCAGTTACTTTAATTTTTTTGTTGTTGTTTAGTGTTTGATTTTGCTTATAATGTGCCTAGTTAATGGACTTAAAAGTAATGTGTATAGAAAAATTAGTCAAATGTGGCAAGTTCCAAGTAATTAGCCCACATATCTCTAGATTGAAAGACAAGAGACATCAAACCCAACCATGAAGGTTGTAACCCTGCCCACAGAATCATCTTCT